TCATGTTTATTTCACTTCACACACTTTTGTGTGGAACTATTATATAGAGAAAATTGCCAAATTTTTAAAAAGCGCAATTATTATTTATTGAAATTCTATGTTTACCTTTATCAGTAAGGAAAGTTGGCAAGTTGACAAGGAAAATTGACAAGGAAATTGGATTGGTTCCTTTTAGAGAGTGTGAAAACTTAAATAGATATGAAGTAGTAACAAAAAAAAAAATATATACAATTTATATTATATAATTTAAATCATTAGATAGAGTCATATTCTCTAATATTATATATTGTTTTTTATTTAATTATTCATATTTTATTATTCAATACAATTTAAATTACAAAATAAGAAATTTTAATTGTAATACAATTCAAAATTAGTTGTCTTATTTTTTATATTTTCTTACAAGCAAATTTAGGTAATTATTTTATATAGAAAAAACTAAAGAATGTGATATTTTCTGGTTATATTGGGTTATAAAATATCAGTTATTAGTTAAAATGAATTATCTCCCATTATTAAGAGCTCTCATTAATTTAATAATTAATGTTTTACTATTCTAATTATAAAATACTTTTTTGAAATCTAAATTACAAATCATTTTTAATAACAATATAAATATCTTGTTTTTAATTAAACAGAATCTACTCCCATAACAGGGGAAAATGAAATTAACAATCACCTTGGATGATTCGGCCAAGTTTGGTCGACTTGGGTTGCTTTGATCAGCAATTTTGTTGTGTGGCCCATTTCCTTTTGCTTTGTTTATCATTTACTCACTCCATTATTGCTTCCATGCCAGCGGTCTCCTTGGGTCACCTATCAAGATACCAACCTTTCATCGAGTGCGGCACTTTCCGTTCTTTCAATTTGGCCGGTTTTGGCGTTGTGCAAACTGTATATTCGTAGCTTAATCGTTCACTTTTAAGATTAACAATACTAGGAATCCAAAGTCCGAGATTCAATCCTCCATTTTTCAGAAGAACAAATATAAAAACTAAGAGACAATGTTGTCCCATGCCGTCCATTTAATTATTACTATCTTAATATATATATTTTTTATAGATTTGGTCTTTTTCAATTATTATCTTTATATATATACTTTTATAAAAAAAATTAATTTGTATCCTTAAAATATAGATTAAAAGTTTTTTAAAATTTTAAAAAATAAAAAATAATATTTGATTTATTAATTATTTAATTAAATTTATTTATGTAACAATGACATTAAAATTAATGTAAATTAAAAAAATTTTCTATATAAATTTATCATAATAAATTGCACTTAACTTGTACTCTTTTTATTTTCTAGTATTAGATTAAATTAAAAATAAATTCGTTTTGATTTTTCTCCCGTGCTCTGCTTAGGGTTGAAGGCGGCGGTCATAGGTTTCTCTCAAAGGTTTCTCTCCAGCAAGGAGTTTCTTTCTTCTCTATTGTCTTCTTCCCTTCCCTTCCTCCTCTTAATTTCTTCCTTCCTCCTCTTAATTTCTTCCTTCCTCTTAGTTGACTATCTTGCTTTGGAAACTTCAACCCAAGGGACCACAAGGTAGCGGCATCTTTCGATCTACATCTACTGTCGATTTTTGAAGGTTTTGACTGAATATCGAGGGACATGATCTCGCTGATGGGTTTGGTTTTCTCTTATTCACCAGATTAGAATCTCGACTTGACATACCTTCAATTTTGGAAGGGATCCTAGCGAGGGTTGCATTTGGAGAACCTGGTGCACTCCAATTTTTGACAAGGCAGTAGCATCCTTCGATCTACATCAAAGAACCTAGAGCACTCCAATTTTCGATCCAGTAATCGAATATAGAAAGACAAGGATGCTGTGACTGACTTTGGTTCTAGTGATATTGGTCTTCTAAGGAAGTGTATGTTCTTGCATTGGTTTTGCTTTTGCCAGCCACCTAAACATGAAACAAACTAGGTATTTTTTGCTTGGATGGAGCATTATGGTGCCCAGAGACACCGCATCGCCAAGTCTCCTAATCTCCCGTGCTAGGTTTAGATGGCAAAATAAATGTGATTATCAGCAGCGACCGTAAGCTCCAGTGTAGTCTTTCTATGTTATCACATAACTCTATTGATGCCCCTATAACATATACTAATATTTAGAGGTTCCCAGTTCTTAATTGTTTCTATTTGTATGGAACACCAAACTCTCTACATTAGTGTTATAGGTCTTACCTAACTTATTTATCTCTCTTGAATAGCCTATATGGCATGGTATATTCTGCACTATAATTGTTTTTCAATTATTAATGTAATTACATTTTTTATCAAAAAAAAAAAAAACTTATACTCTTTTTTTTTTAATCTTGATTGCACAATATGAGTCAACCATACTTCATTTCTTATCTTATTCTACTTGCATGCCATGTGACTCGAACTCATAATCTCTTATTTCTAGCAAAACAAGATTATTACTAAATTATTTAAGTAGTTAGCAATACTCTAAACTCATACTTTAAAAAAACTCTTTTATAAATTTGGTATTTAAACGTATGGTGGAACTAATTTGATATACATCTATGCATAAAAGCTAGTAAGCACAATTCGGTTAAAATTGAATTAACCAATTTTTAAAACTAATTTTTGCTCAAACTAATTAGGTTAATTAATTAAAATGGTTAAAATTTAAAATATACAGAATAAATTTCAGTATATTTAATCGAAAGCAAGAAAGATGCTAACTGAAATAACCAAACTAATAGAATTAATCAAAATTTTAGTTAACCAAATTAATCAAAATAATTTTTACTTACCAAATTGAATTAGATGAAATAATTTGGTTAATCAAAATTTGTATTAATACATATTTTAGTTTGATTTCAAAATAAAATTTTTTAATTTTAAGTTACTCAATGAAAAACAACTCTCATCATATCATCTTTTTACATTTCTTAATTCACTTCACTTATATATCATATATCTTAAATGAAAAATAATTTATTTTTATTAAAAAAATTATTTAAATTATTAGTGATCGAAAATATAGATAATGGAAATTGTTGTTTTACAGAAAATCAATTCAATTGTCCAAACTAAACCGACACCCAACCTTATTTCAGCAAACTGTCTACAAATTTTTTTGGTTTGGACAAACATAATATCTCTGTGACAAATTTTGCATATATCAAAACAATTTTTTAAAATAATCTTAAAAATGCACCACATATTGATCAAATTATAAGCCAAGAGATAGTGCTGTCTGCTGTCTGCTGTCTGCTGTCTGGCTCAAGAAGTAGACCAGAAACCATTACATACAAACCGTTCTGTCCGGTCCGCTACTTGCTTAGGAGCAGTGTTGAGAAAGTAGTCTCTCTCACTAAAAAGCCAGCATCGATGGGCTCCGAGATGGGACTGGAGAGTCGTGACAGTGGCTGTGCGAACATCACCAATATCTAGTGCGATGAATGGCTATAAAACAGTCTCCTTTTTCTGTCAGTTTCAGTGATATTGCCATTTTGGCATTTACGCATGTATTTGAACAAATTAAAACCACCTTGGCCCTCAGCCCAATGCGCTGAAGGTGCATTCCTTTAGGTTAAATTAAACGCCTGGGTTCAAATCTCCCCTGTGGAGAAAATTGGTAGATAATTATATGAATTTTGTTATTTTTTTTATTTAAATATATGAATTTTATTAATTTTTAAATAAACTCATAAGTTTTTAATTTTTTATATTTAAAGGTGTTGATTTTGTATTTTTTTATTTAAGAATTAATTAAATGGTTAAAAATTAAAGTTATTTATCATGTTAGCATCACTATTTAATTATTTTTCAAATATAAAAAAATATAAAATTATTATTTTTTAAATAACAAAAATAAAATTTATTTATCTGTATTTTTTCTCCCCCATCTCCACTAGTTTAGTCGTAACCTATTCAGAAAAGAAAGAAAGAAATTAAAAATCAAATACAGATCTACTCATTAAAAAAAGAAGACAGAGAAAGAAAGAAAGAAAAAGATAATATAGAGGCTGCACTATTTTTTGGTTTTTTTTGGAACAGTTTTAGTTTTTTAGTCAATTTTTAACCATATCAAATTCAATTTTTCTAAACAATCTTAAAAAGCACAACTATTAATTAATTTGATATATTTAAAAAATAATAATTTTTTATATATTAATTTAAAATTTGAATTCTACACGTAACTTGTAATTATGAAAGGACACTTAAATTTAACACTTGGATTACCATTTTCTTGGAATTTCTGTCAACAAAAATTAGTCAATAAAAAAAGTCAACAAAATCGCCTGAGTTCAGTGGGCTAGTCAAATTGGTGGAGCCTCAAAATCCCATCAACAAGAACGCTGGAGCAACTTAATTTGTTGGTGTGCAATTGGTGGTGGTCAAGTTGTACGATGGTGATGCATCAACCAGGAACCACAACCAGCAG